GTGTGATTGGTATTGGTTACTTAGTGATATTTATTTTCCTAGCGTGTGATATTTACGATTTCAAGTTGTATTAGTTAAAATTATTCAGTCGTGCGATTCAATAAATTGTTTTGTAAAGTTACTCTCCGTTCTCATTCCTTTGCGTTAACTCAACGAACTCGCGCTGTCGCGGCATTTGAAATATAGTGCCGTCACACATGCCTTGACATCTCGAAATGACATTTCAGTGGTAACCAAGTAACGATGTTTGTAACTTAATAACGGTGCTACATAAGTAACTCATTTTGACATCATCACAGGTTGACAGGCCTTCAGTTGACATCTTGAAATGGCATTTCAGTGGTATCCAAGTAACGAAGTTTGTACCCGCTTGGTAATGGTACATCAGTTTCTCGTCTTGCCATTATCATGATAGGTTTAAATGGCTGTTGCTCACTGCAGCGGTACATCGAGAAAATAGGGAACAGAAATATTTGGCAACCTGGCAACTACAGTTTGAAATGCTATAGTCAACGGGTACATAAGGATTTCAGTTAGCTTTTTTTTTTTTATTTTAATTGGCTTGAACTATAGTTTACTTCCCTCGGGCCGCAAGGCCTTGTTATGAACAATTTATACATGAGCAGGAAGCGAAGAAGCGCGCATCCTCTTTTTTGAATGTGAGCTAATACCATATGCCTGACGGATGAAGTGAGTAGTTTATACCAGTGAGTTGATGAAGGGTTTCGGACACAAAAATGAAGTACATGAAATAGAAAGGTTTTATATCATAAGAGTAAAAAGAGATGGCAAACTCTTAGCTATACTGTCACGGCATTTTTCCTGTACTGTACTGTACTGTATTGTACTGTATTGTGATGAATCGCTAGGAAACAGTCTAAGCATAGTTGATATATAGTTAACTATCCGGCATAGTTAATTAACTATGATCTAAGTAAATTGCCTATAAAGCTTCGCTCCTGGGGAAACTCAGCAACATTGTTATTATTTTTTTATTTCTTAGTCTTTTATTTTTGTATGACTTTAATATAATATAATATACACATGTAGCTTTTTACATGAATTATCTAATAGCAATATTTTTTAAAGAGTAAATATGTAATATCAATATGGCCAAATTATTTGGCTAGCGTTGTCATTTTTTTTGATAGTTGGTTTACTTTTGAGAACAAAAGACCTTGGTATACTATTTTTGACACCTGTCGAGCTGTTGATACAGCTCTTCAGCCATTTCTTTGCTCAAGTAAACCAAGCCAGTCTTCAGTTACCGAGTTGCAACTTATTTATAGATTGCTAGACATTTTAGAATCGCGCTCTGGTACACGTTTGTCGCGATGGATCTTTCTCGTTGTTTTTTCGTGATCTGTATTTCAAGAAATTTATCTTTTTTAAATCACTGAATGTCACAGATTTTTCTTGTGTTGTTTTGTTTGATTCGGTTTGTACTTCATCGTTCTCATTTTTATTTGCAAAAAATATCTCGGTATTTCGTATTGAACTGTCTACGTAAGCTCAATTTCAAAACACGGAATATCTATGGGAATAGGAGTGAAATGAAGCAAAATGAATGGAAGAATGAATGCATATGAAAAGTATAAAATCGATACTAAAACTTAAAAAAAGGCAAATTACTCCAAGATTGCAAAAGAATGAGCAATTGCGTCAACTCAATAGTTTGAGCATACATAAAGATAGGAAAAAGCGTAAGAATGTATTTGAAAATAAAGAGAGAGATACTGAACCCAGCCCATACTATGATATATAGTCCACGTAAAGCAGTTGACGTTGTCGACTAACTAAATAGTATTCAATATTATCAGCTTTCTTGTTATCTGTGGCACACTTTATGATATGTCGAGGAGTCAGTTGATGTACGAAGGAGGAGAATATTGAGCTGGCGCAGGGCAATTCGGTCGTTCATATAATCCATGATCACTAATGTATCCATTATGAATGGGAGAGAACGTGTTATCTTCAGTTTCTGTGGCGTCTTTATGACACCCGTTTGATTCAGATCTCTGAACCTCTGTCTCTAATTGTCGTTCGTCACTGTGATTTTCTAAAGGAGTAAGTTCATTGTTGATGTCTTTTCTCAGAGCATTATTTCTGCCGTAAGACCCTTTCGGCCGCTCGCGATCCCTGTGAGGTTTTACGATCTTAGGTGTGCTGTATATATCGGGAACCCTACGGGGCTTTCCAGGCAACGACACGTTATCACTAAGACTCCTGGAATCTTTGCCTTTTAGTAGCGTTGGTTTGAGAAAAATCTCAGATCCAGGTTCACGATGGCCCGAAGGTTTCCGAGTTCGTACATTTTCAAGTTCATTTTCGTCAAGAGATTCTGATCGTTTGGCGTTAAGAGGCGGTAGACGTTGTAGTCTATTCGCTGAAATATTTAACAATGGCCTTGTATTTGCGTTTTTGAGAAGTTTTTCTTGTTCAATAATCAGTCTCAATACTGCCGTAGCTTCTTCATCGTTGAATTTACTCCGTGGTGGGAACTTCCGTTCACTAGTGTCTTCCATCCCAATAGCAATCAGTCCAAGAAGGCTTTTTTATAGCTGTTATCATTAAAAGTATGATCTTACCCCAGATTTCTGTGAAAAGAAGAAAAAATCCAGTTAATTCATTTCATACGGGCTTTCTATCAACACACACTTATACTGACAAAATGCTTTTGTGTACCTTGTAACCTTTAGTATTATTTGGCAAAAAAGATTTATCATTTGGCTAAGAATTAGCATAAGATGTACTCTTCCAAATCCTCCTTTGAACAAAGCTCAGTGAAAATGCTAATTATACATATGAACAAACGCGGCGAATTGTCTAGTAAGTCAATGAATGAATTGAGAAACGGATTTTACCAATATTCAACGTGTTTTTTCCTGTATTTTCACTTAAGTGTCGAGGAAATTAAATATAACCATTGACGCAGTTTTCGACGGTTCTCACCATTATTTCTTCAAGAAATATCTCCCCAGGCTTCAAAGCCCCACAAAAACCTCCAAAATCAGTATATGACATCAATTACAAACATTGGCTTTTCAAAAAATCAGCATGCGCGTTTAAGGCGGGATGGTCGCAAGCTTAGACTACGCCACAAGATGGCGGCGCTATTCTTCGCGCTTTTGTAAGACAATACTCCGAACAGGTGAACAAATTCACTTGTATTCCTATTTATTTACGAGCAGTAGTCAAGGAAACAAAACAATTCCGCTCTGAGTACTTGGAACTAAGTGTAAAGGGGTCCGTCTCTCATCGAACTGAGGATGTTTGCAAGAAACTTGTGACCACTGAAGTATGTGTTAGTTAAATTACTAAATTTTTGTGTCACAGTTTCTTTTCCTTATGAGAGAATCTCCCCTTTGTCCTGTGTTAAAGGTGAAAGATAAGAGGGGATATTATCATTGTTGTGACGCTTAAAAACATTATAAATTAACGTATGATTTATAACTGAGGAGAGTCGCTACTGAGGAGACTCGCTGCCTCTTACTGAATCTATAGCGTACGGCTTTTGTTTACTTAGGACGATATTCTACAGTGTCAATTACGATTTCTGCCAATCAATTTTGCCAAACATTGAAAAGAAAATCACTCATAATGAGATAAAGAACCAACAGAATGTCTGTGTTGGGGTAGATTGAGGCCGATAAAGCTAATGATATAGGAAGGGACTCGGACAAATCCGATAAACTCGAATTTATCTGTTGACTCATATTTAAGGCTTTCTRCAAGACAGAAGTGTAAAAGCAATCAAACCGTGCCCGATTCTTGGTACTTAAGCTCGCTTTATTTTCATGCAAAGTTTCATTGTACTATTTTTCAATAATTAAAGATGTTCAGGTCTTGAGTTGTGAATGTTAGATAGAGAGCGAAGTTTTCTACAGCTGTTTGCACAGAATACCAATCATAACTACTCTCTTAGTGCGATATTCTCTATTTCCATATTAAATGCTACATATTTTGGTTTTGAACCGAGACTTCGAAAAATATAAATGTTTATTGTCAGGAAGTATTTCTCTTTAGGAAGGTGAAAAACGTTAAGGTTAAACTTTAGCAGGAAATTGTTTAAACTTACATGTACATTTGTTCGTTCTTACATTTGTGACTAGTTTCGCACACGGTGTTAAAGTGTATATCAGGTCTAGAATTTTTTTACGGTTTTGGCATCTCTAGATGATAT